CACGCACTTTCTGAGAGCGAGACATGGGTAGCACCATCAGCGTCGCATAAGAAAGTCCAAAGACGAGATCACGAACCCACTGAGAGCGGGACATGGGCGTGGCACCATCAGCGTCCCCTAAGAAGATACAAAGACGAGATCACGCACAAACTGAGATCGGGACATGAGCGTGGCGCCGTCAGCGTCGCCTAAGAAGGTCCAAAGACGAGATCACGCACCCACTGAGAGCGGGACATTGGTGTAGCACCATCAGCGTCGCCTAAGATGGTCCAAAGACGAGATCACGTACTTCCTGAGAGCGGGACATGAGCGTAGCACCATCAGCGTCGCCTAAGAAGGTCCAAAGACGAGATCACGGACCGACTGAAAGCGGGACATGGGCATGGCATCATCAGCTACAAAGACGAGATCACGCACTTTCTGAGAGCGGGACATGGGTACGGCACCATCAGCGTCGCTTAAGAAGGTCCAAAGACGGGATCACGCACTTTCTGAGAGCGAGACATGGACGCGGCACCATCAGCATCGCCTGCGAAGCTCCAAAAACGAGTTCACGTACTTTCTGAGAGTGGGACATGGGCGCGCGGCACCATCAACGTCACTTAAGAAGCTCAAAAGACACGATCACACACTTCCTGAGAACGGGACGTGGGCGCGACACCATCAGCGTCGCCTAAACACCTCAAAAGACGAGATCGCACCGACTGAGAGCGGGACATGGGCGTAGCACCATCAACGTCATCTAAGAAGGTCCAAAGACAAAATCACGCACTATCTGAGAGCGAGATATGGGCGTGGCACCATCAGTGTGGCCCAAGAGGCTCCAAAGACAAGATCACGCACTTCCTGAGAGCGAGACATGGGCATGGCACCATCAGCATCGCCTAAGAGGGTCCAAAGGCGAGATCACGCACTTCCTGAGAGCGGGACATGGACGTGGCACCATCAGCGTCGCATAAGAAGCTCTAAAGACGAGATCACGCACTTTCTGAGAGAGGGACATGGGCGTAGCACCATCAACGTCGCCGAAGAAGCTCCAAAGACGAGATCACGCACCAACTGAGAGCGGGACATGGGCGTGGCACCATCAATGTCGTCAAAGAAGGTCCAAAGACGAGAACACGTACTTTCTGAAAGAGAGACGTACATCGAGATCTCAGCTCAAGATTGATATCGAAGTTTCAGGATGACATACAATTTGCTGAACATGAAAGTTGCGAATAAGAAGCGCTTCTGCTTCAGTCGTGTGGTTGGAGGCACTGTTAGACGATCGTGTGCTCCATCTCATACTGCGACGGGTGACCTGAAATCGTCGTTTGCATTCTCGACTTCTCATCGTTAGGCACCCTCGGGACCTTGAAAAGCAAGCATACTTACCAATTAGTCGAGCACGCAGTCTGCCTTTGAGTCCAGTATTTGACAGATTTGACGCCAAGGCGATTCACAATGCCGCAAAAATGACATCGGTAGTCCACGTCAGAGCCTGAAAGTGTCTCCTGTTCAATGGCAATCCTCATCACAATCTTCGTGCCTGGTTCAATGCTCGACCATTCATCGTTTGTAAGTGGGGTCACTTGCACGCCCTGGTCAATGCACAGATCATACTTCCCTTGTTCTGTATACCGCCTTTGAATTTGGGCTTCAATCCCATCGCGTTCGAATAGAACTCGGAGCATGTTATTGAGTTGCTACAGACAATTTTACGAGTAAATTTCCACAAGAAATATTTTGAAATCAGCGAGCGGACCTGATATGAGGTGCAGAACGTCACTGATATTGGATGGTGGTGGCCTGTTGCGTCTACCAGTGTCACGCAGTCACTCACGACGGACTGTCCGATGTTCTGAGGACCCTCCCGCTGCCTCTGGAACATTATGTACAATTCGTGTGTTTCATGTTGGCTTTGCATTTGGGATGACCACTGATCATAGAGTAGTGAGTAACTCCAAGCAATTTTTAGGGAGTAGAACACAACCAAATACTCCAACAGACAACGGTCGATGTCAGTTAAGCAACTGGTGATTGCTTGTGTGACAGATAGGTATAGGAGACGACGTTTTCGTTTTTGCAACTTTCTCAGGCTCGCTGAGATGTCTTGCAGCTTGCTAAGTGCGGCTCAGTATCCAATAAATTCAAGCCCACATTCACAGAAGGTTCACCTAGCTAAGACGTCTCTCCGGCAGCGTTCAAGAGGATCCGATGTAGTTGGGGCATTACATAAATGCTGGTATAATCGATAGAGTCGGATTGTCAAGTCGTCCAAGGTCGCCTTGTTCTCATCGCATCTCTAATAGCCCTTGAAATCTAGAAACATCCTCATCATTCAATAAGCACTCACATCTATTACTTGAAGGATTGCTAATAATCCACCGATAGTTGCATGAATTGGAGCGCCGACAATTGGGATAACTCCCGTAAAAGCCTGTACCAAGGGCAAAACTAGCTGAGCGATGTCGGAAGCCTCACCAGCAGTGGATGCACCGAAAGGGTACACTGTAGATGGAAAGCCGGTGGAGAATTCTTCGAGACCTTGTTTACTGCCTGCGGAAATGGGCTGCACTGGCGAAGAATTTGAAGGGTGCATTGGTGCAGGAATAGGATTGGAGAGGTCTTTGGGGACAGAGCTATCGCCCTCATGGTCAGCGGTTGTCAAGTCGTCTTGTGTGCGTTCTCGGTTTTTAGAGCGCTTCAAACGAAGTGCAATGACCTTTCCGAAAGCCTGCCAGTGGAACGGAAAAGGCATTTCGATCTGTCAGCGGATAAGTGATCGTCTTTTTTGCGTCTGAGATTTGGCTTGGGAAGACCAGAGGAATCTACAATGATTTTGTATATTTTTGCGCATCAGTGCACAAACCCTAGCCCAATTCTACTGATCAAATTCATACCAAGCCATTATGTGATTCGGAACTTGTGAGGAGCAGAAATAATCACATAGTACTAGTGTTATCTTCGCTGATGTCTTCCAGGGTCGGGTGGAATATCGGCACCCAAGAACCTAACCTACAAAAGTGAGTTTTGAGTCTCGCTGCAATTATGATTAACAAATGTTTTACCGTGGGTCGAACCAAACATGTTGGGCATGAGTCTTCCCTCTGGCCTTGTGCTCGTTCATCACATGTAACAGCCATGTGTTGGTGGTTGTAACCAGTGTATGACATGTTCTACTCTTGGGGAACATGACCCGGACTGGGAGCATTATTCCAAGTCCTCTGTTTCGGAGTACCATTGACATTTCGTAAAGCATTATAGATGCCATGGGAAGAATTAATAGTGTTGTACACTATGTTCCGCGCTGAATAGCTCATCACCGGTCACCAGTCAGTGGACTACAGCGAAGTTGTTGCTATGTTCAAACTTACAGCTGTTTTCATAATTGTACGGCATCCTATTTTTTGGGCTGGTTGGAAATTATGAGAGACACGATAGCTGCAGTACTAGCTGCCTCGACATACCATGTCTACTACAGAAACTAAGGATACTTACATCGTTCAAAACTGTTGTAAACTTCGAAGTCTATCGGTGTCTCAAGTGTTTCGGCAGCCCAAATGGAGTTTCGCTGGGCTATTTTGTTTGGCTTACATAAGAAGTCTTGATGTCGTAGAAGTTGCGGTTGTCCGTGAAAAAGGGCATGCTCACCCCCATCGCCACTCTACCTTATAGTCCTTCGCCCTGTTGCGTTGTAAAAAGAGCAAAAGACAAGATTAAGAGGTCAAAGTCAGCAGTGATCAATAAACTCCAAGCACTCTCAAGCTTCATCGTGGCCAAGGTCCTCATGTCACTTTGCCCGTACAATATCCACGACATCCACAACTGCCACTGCCAAAACTACCACTACGTCCGCCGCCTGCAACTGACATGCCCTCTCATCGAGCGGTAGTTGTAAACAACAACAACTCTCTTGGGATTCAGGTTATATTTTGATTGTAATCATATCCTCATCTCATGTTTCAACTTTTGAACTGTGTGTGCTTACCAGGTATATCATATGCTGATCATCTGGCTACTTGATAAGGATAAGATGCAGTTTCACCAGCGCTATCATGTCATTAATTATTAGACCCTTGAAACATGAATCAACTGCAGGGCTGTGACTTAGCTACTGTTAGCAATATTGCCAGAATCCTGTTCTGATCGATATATGTATATATAATCGGTCACGCAGGAATCGTTGGGTAAGTTGCTATAAGGACTCCATGTCTTGGCGTGGAAGTTCAACACCGCTGGAAAACATCCCGTGCACAATTTATCCAAGTTACCAACCCGCTCACTCGCGCTCACATCGAGAGAACGATAATGGCTGCGCTTCTAATGGCCAGACACTGCTCGTTGCATGAAATTCAAAATTTTATTTTGTCCCTATCATCCTTTAGGCAAGGGAGATGTCCATTGCTTCTAGAAAGAACGTTCTCTTTCAGTAAGATGAACCTTGAGCTTAGAGATCTTATCGTGGTCCAAATTTACCACTGCTGCATCAGCAAATTGTGATGTGCGTTGTGAGGCTGCAAGTTTAATATAGTACCTCTTTAGGCACAGTCAATCACATTTTAGATAAGGTCTACCCGTTCGCATGTTCAACTTGTTTTAGCCAAGGGTGGTTATGTACTCCTTCAAGGAGCGGACTCAAAAATTGGTGTCTCTTGTGTGCTGATCACTTCCTATCTTAAGATTCACTCATGATGGTTTCCTTGGAGGTGTATCTTAACTGGTTTGGCCTGGTGGTTACCACAACGGAATCAAAATCTGTTTCTCTGGACCCTGAACGTTCGAAACATGCAGGGGACAGAGTTTATTTTTTTTTATTAGAATACATCTTGAGATTCACTCATCAATGGTATCTTTAGAAAGTGACTGTAACTGGTCATAGCCAGGCGGTTGCCGTAACAGAATTAAAATCTGTTTCTGTGGAATTGTGCAGGTTCGAAACCTGCCGAGGAAGAAGTTTTTTCTGTCGGAGAATACCTTATTCAGTCATGAATGGTTTCCTTGAAGGCGAACCTCAAGTTGTGTTAGTCAGTTGGTTGTCACAACAGAATCAAAATCAGTTCCCCTTTGACTGTGCAGGTTCGAAACCTGCCGATAACAGGGCTTGTTTTTTTATTTGAATACAACCTTGATATTCACTCATGGATATCTCCTTTGACGTTCATCCTAACTAGGCTTAGCCAAATGATTACCGTAATGGAATGTTCCTCTTGGACTTTGCAGGTTCGAAAACTACCGATCACAAGGTTCAATTTTCTATCGGAACATACTTTTTGACCTTCACACATCAATGGTTTCCTTAGAGGCTTATCTCAACTCGTCTTAGCCAGGTAATCTATCTGATTCTATCAAACACATTTTATTCACGTGCTTGATCTACGGCTCAACTTTTCGAGTGCTAGACATGGTTACTTCTCTGAAGAATTCAGAATGATCTACTATCCTGTTCGCTAAACCTTTGTCCCTGATCCCCCAAGGCACTCGTCCTTCTCTAGATGCCGACTTCTTTGTATTGACCTAGTTCGTTTCCTGCATTGTATTCGGCTGATTTATCAATAGGACATCGATGGAGTGACTTTGGATAAGACCAAGTGAGCTGACCAACGAGCAAGATTGCGAGAAGGCCCCAGTGTCAACTAAACTCGCACTGCCGCTGCAAATCTGTCATATGAACTCTTCCTCAGAAAGGGTAGCTATGTCTGGGTATGCAATCATGCGCTCTCACAATGCATCATTAGGCTTTGAAGCTTGTGGAGCGTACTATTCAGTTTGATGTTACCCTTCTGTCGCTAACAAGTGCTGGGGTGCTACATGCATAAGGTTCTCTCAAAGAAGCTACCAAGTATTACACAACGGCCATTCATGGCCAACCAAAACATGTCTTAGGTGCAATCGACATCCAAATCCAGAGGGGCAAGCTGGCTCGAACAGGGAAGTGGGAAAGAAAATTCAACTCAGTTTCAGATGAGATAGCCGCAGCGATCCACAGGCTTGATATTCTCCTGCAGCCTCCAAATCCTCAGTATTCCGTTGAAGCAGTGGTTCTGCTCGATTTCCTGTCCAGGTATTTCGGACTCAGACTTTGCTCGGAAACAGGCTAAATCCCGGGAGCTATTCGACCATGCTGTCAAAGCAAGATGACTCTCGTACATCCAATGGTCACACCCCGCCACACACAAAGAAAAATTGAGGTTCCAGGACAGCGAGCTGACTGAGGGAAAGGAGAAACCAGCTACGGAAGTGTCCGTGGTTTGTACCGAGAGAACATAAGTATGTAAGTGTCCATGATTTGTATTCCTGAAGTCCATACTTCACTAAGTCGCGTCGCGTTGTCAGGTGCACGATTCGTGCACCAACAAAGACTGCATCCTGCTGGTCATACAGGTCACGTCTAGCAGTGTATTGATGTGTCCACATGTAGTTGGTTAGTTGGTTGAGCTCCCTTTGGACGGTGACAAGCCGCTAATGTGAAGATAATAGCAATGACGAAGAGACCAAACCCTGAACTGTGCATCCAAATTTGGATGCACAGTTCAAAAGAGTGGTAGAAGTTCAAAGGCATCATAGTATCAACATAGTCACGGAGTTTGAAAGGCTTATTTAGCATTGAATCTGCGACTTCAATATTTCAGTCCTGAACGTGTTACATTGTGTATCCCAATACACACCCAACCGCTCCTTCTCTCATTCAGACGCTTGCTACAAACCTGACACCGCACTATCTACCACAGTTGCTAACACCCTCTCAACTCTCCGTACAAGAATACCCATGGCACACCTCTTGTGCCCTCCTCCTCCTACTCTCCCCTCCTACAGATCATGAGGCTATCTGTAAATATATCGAGTCTGGAGGTAGGATATTAGCTTTCGGCGTTGGCGTCAGAAAAGGTATTCTATTTGGACCGAGTCATGACTTTGGATCACTATTCGCGGGTCTTGGTCTGGGCATGGTAAAAGACACGACTATACTCAGAGTCGCTGATGTATACGCATTCATCTACATCTCTTTCTCAACTGCTACCGGAACAAGCGTGGAGGTACTGGTTAATGATATTGTGGTATCTATATCCAGATTGCCCATATATCCTTTGGACCTTGAAGCATGGCACGTCTTCAGTCATTACGCAGAGAATAAAAGATTTCTTATCCTAAAGCGGGCTTGTCGCGGTGTGGAGTTGCACCTAACCCCTTCCAGATATCCTGCTGTCACGATCACTATCTGCGCTTCTCGCAGAGAGCTGATCCCAGTCTTGTTCCTCATATTCTGCCCTAATTTCTTCTGGCTCGTTTGGATTCTTTGCGGGTGCAGCATCGCGTTGTAGAGACATTACTTGATCATTTAGCTCTTGCGTCAGTTGTCGGCGATGAATCACAACGCAAGTTGGAGCCATTTGTATTCGAAGATGCCAACGACGATCTCCACTTCCACTTCCTATCCTTCCCTTCTGTGGGCAGAACCACCAATTACCCCATACTCGAACTTATTCCACAAAATTCCGTCTCAAACGCGAAAGTCAAACACGTGCTCGTACCTTCAAAACCCCTGACTGAACGAATATACACCCACAATTCTCACCATAGACAAGTTCTTGTCGGAAGGGAAGACACAAAATCAAGACACAAACCCAAACTCCTGGCGTATCGGCGAAGCATTCATATACAGCGAAGTAGTTTCCAGCACCCAAACGATGTTTGACAAGTGCGTCTCATCCAATCACGTCCATCACACTGCACTGAGATCCTCTCTGAGCAGAAACCCATCTTTCCTCCGCGCACTCCCCTCCCCAATCGTCTTCCTCGCCACAGTACAATTTGCAGGACGCGGCAGAGGCGGCAACACGTGGCTCTCACCTGCAGGGTGCTTGCAGATGTCGCTCAGGATTTGTGTCGGGGGTCTTTGTCAGGTAAGACTGGCGACTTTTTATTTACTAGTGTTCAGTTATCTGATATCTCAATTTTGACACCGCGCAGCACCAGGCCCCACAATCTTCCCCTCCAACCTCGTATCCAATATCTATATGCACTAGCAATCATCGACTCATGTCACGTTCTAGTCCCCACCTCTGAATGGGCTCACAGAGTTCGTCTGAAATGGCCTGATGGCATTTACGGTCTCTTCCTGTCTTCCCAGAGCAGCCCAACATCAAAGTCAAAGTCAACGCCGGAACCACGGAAATCGACGGGATACTGGTAAACACGAGATTTGGTGGTGGCATGGCAGATGTGGTAATCGGTACGGTACCTCCCTCTCAGTGACATGAAAGCTCACTCTCAAACTCATCAATAGAATGAATAGGAAGCGGCCTCAACATCCTAAATGCACCACATATCGCCTCACTCACCCAACTCACCCAACTCACATCTACACCTACCCAAGGCTTCCTGTGGAATGCGTAGCAGCAGCAGTTCTCACCTCCTTCGAGCGCATATGAAGTTCGTCCTTGCAGAATGAGGAACAGGGGTTTCGCCCGTTCATGGACAAATACCTCCGATCATGGTTACATTCGTGCGTCTCTATCATGTTTCCCTCTACATCAATGTTTACCATTTACTTACTCGCGGTTCGGACAGAGACCAGCTCGTCGCACTAGCGAGCCGGACTCCACACCGAAGCGTCCAGATTGTTGGTATCACTCCCGACCTTGGGTTGTTTGCGTACTGTGCCGATGGGCGGTGGAGAGTTCATCGATTTTCAGCCTGATGGGAATAACTTTGATATGATGAAGGGGTTGATATCGATGAAGAAGGGGTAGGTAGCATGCAGAACTGTTATAAAATCATCAATTGATCGCATTACACTGGAAGAGCTCACCTCATTCACACACTAAGATTACAGAATCCAGTTTGTATCGTCCTCGCACGAGACCCCAAGCAACACTCTTGGATCAGCTCCACCGAGCGGAATCTTCGGTCTGCACGCAAAACAAAAATCTCGTTTGAATTTTCGTTACGGTATGGGTGTGGTGTTACATGTTAGATTTCAAGGTGAGAGATACGAGCAACCAGGTCTAGACAGGCCGTACATAGAAGATCGTTTTCTTTATGTGCCATGGACAAAATCAATTCTGGAAACCATGCTTGTCCACATCCTCTGCTGCTACCAAGACACATCATCTGAGTCTTTTTCCATTCCACCCTCCTCTTCATCGTCTTCACTACCTTCCTCGATCTCCTCGATATCATACCCATAATATGCTACGTGCAATGAGTATAAAGACATGCTTTGAAATTGGTTAATGAGCAGTCACGCACTGTCTAATATTGGTGCAATGAAAGAATTAGTGTTCAGTCCATTCCAAAAGACAAGATTACATACCACGTGAAGGTGGGATATATGCTTGTCGGGGATATATGTCCGAGGTCTCATGAACATGGCATAAAAAGTCATCCTGCTCGTGTTGAGGTCAACAAGCGGCAACAAGTTGAGCAGATGAGATCATTCACTCTCTGAGAGCGGAACATGGCCATGGCACCATCAGCGTCGCCTGAGAAGATCCAAAGACAAGATCACGCACTTGCTGAGAGTAGTACATGAGCGTAGCACCATCAGCGTCGGCTAAGAAGCTCCAAAGACGAGATCACGCACATCCTGAGAGCGGGACATGGGCGTAGCACCATCAGCGTCCCCTAAGTTCCAAAGACGAGATCACGCACCAACTGAGAGCGGGACATGGGCGTGGCACCATCAGCGTCATCTAAAAAGCTCCAAAGACGAGATCACGTACTTCCTGACAACGGGACAAGGGCGTGGCACCATCAGCGTCGCCTAAGAAGCTCCATGGACAAGATCACGCACTGCCTGAGAGCGGGACATGGGTGTGGCACCATCAGCGTCCCCTAAGAAGCTCCAAAGACGAGGTCACGCACCAACTAAGAGCGGGACATGGGCGTGGCACCATCAGCGTCCCCTAAGATGCTCCAAACACGAGATCACGCACAAACTGAGAGCGGACATGGGCGTGGCGCCATTAGCGTCGCCTATGAAGCTCCAAAGACGAGATCACGCACGTTCTGAGAGCGAGACATGGGTGTGGCGCCATCAGCGTTGCCTAAGAGCTCCAAAGATGATATCACGCACCTTCTGAGAGCGGGACAAAAGC